TACGACTACTACGGCTACTACTACTACTACTACTACTACTACTACTACTACTTTACGAGTACTCCTAATGCCCCTACTGCTGCTACAAATACTACGACGACTACTACTACCACTACTGACTGCTACTACTTCTACTAGTACTAGTACTAGTACTAGTACTAGTACTCCTTCTGGCACGAGCAACGAATGCATACCTAGTTTCAATCTGTCCTTTTTCGTCGCCTTTCAACTCTTTGTAACGTGTTTTGGCTTCACAAAGCCTCCATCTTAGAAAACCGGGTGCTGCAAGAGCCGAGACAATCCGAAACAGGCTTTGACCACAATTGCAAAACGGTTCAGGGCTAAGGGCATTGGGGTTTAGTCAGAAGCTGCCGTGCGACTGCGACCTGGAGCATCTTCTTCTTCCTGGGTCATTGGATGTCGGATTTCAGCCCTTGCAACTGGGACAGGCCTGACCAGGTTACGAGTGGGATATAGGGCTTTGGAGTTTGGGGCTGCAGTTTTCACAACGGAATTCCGGATTGACCCAGTACTAGGAAACTTGGTGCTAGGAAACTTGCGTCAGGACCCGGACAAGGTCAAGGATAAACGCTGTGAAGCTTGCATTCTGGCAGATCTGGGGTTTCTGGTGAAACGATTCGGGTGTGAAGCCGACCAACTAAAGACCAATATCCCAGATCCCCATACACCTGAAATGAAAGGCTTCAATCTAGTCGAGGCTCCCGACAGGCATCGACGAGAAAGTCATGGCCACCACCGCCTTGCCATCGGCCTTCGCCTTCCTAAGCCGAGGGAGTGAAATTTGGGGTGGGGCTCCAGGATTAAGGCTAAGGCTTTGGGCTTCAACAGCTGAAAGAGCCTCACCTTCGAGGCTCTTGGTTTGCATGCTGGGTTCCGTTTCCCTAACAGAAGAGCAAAATACGAGACTGGTCCACACACAGCATGTTCTCTGGCTGATGTGACACCTCATCTAAATCATAAACTGAAGCCCTTAAAACCCAACAAGACTCTCCCCTTCTCGTGCGACTGCAGTGTTGGCAATCGGCGCAGAAACGTTTCGTCCAAAAACGAGTCTTCGAAGTTTACAGCTTAGGGGAAGTGGGCGTAAGGCTCGGGTGTGAATCCGACTTGCCGAAACGGCTCTTGGTCATGCTGGCCAACAACGCTGGAAGCTCCAAGCAAACCGTGCATCAGCATCGCAACGACAAGAAGTCCAGCCAAAGACGGACGGGGCGATTGCACAGCAGAAACTTGCTGCAAGTGCACCTGATAAGGCGATGCCAATACACGAACATAAGCCCGGCGGCTACTGAAACTAGATGCACATGAAGCGAGAGATGCCTTGTGCATGGAATACGGTTCTGCGGTGTGCTATTCTGAAGGCATACAGGGTTAGTTATGGAGTAGTAGTAGTAGTAGTAGTAGTAGTAGCAGTAGTAGTAGTAGTCGTCGTCGTAGTAGTAGTCATAGTAGTAGTAGTAGTAGTAGTAGTAGTAGTAGTAGTAGTAGTAGTGGTAGTGTTGCAACGATCACGAATTGAAATTAGAATTAGATTAAGATGCTGGCAAGTTCTGTCCGAGAGACTTGATGAATTCGGCGACCTCACCTCGGAATCAAGTCGGGTTTCGGTCTGGCATTTTTGCGCTCACATTCGCGTTCTCTGCGAGGCATGTTACGAGGCGTTGGTCATTTGTGAGGAATACTCCAAGCACTCATGGCACAGCAGACACCATGCAAGCTGAAATTGTGATTCGCGGGAAATGAAAGCATCTCGCCGCGCTACCCCCCAGCTTACATCCTTGGCAGGATCGAACGTCATATGAAGATAAACATCAGCTGAATCATTAGACGTGTACATGTGAACTAACTTTTCTATCGGTTTGGCTGTCGATCTATCTTGATGGCTTGGGAGCTCGTTTCCTGTGCATGCATGCTTGCGTCGATTGCCTGCGTGCAAGCACTGATGGTCGCGGCATGCAGTATGCACACAGTGCTCAGTCATGCTAGAACGCGCTAGCACGCTCGTAAGCATGTGCATGCCCACCCATCCACAAACGAGCACAGATGCACCCACACCCGCACTCACACACACGAACAGAGACAGACAGACGGACGGACGGACGAACGGACGGACGCATGCACACCCACACAAGGAAACAGACAAACAAACAAACAAACAAACAAACAACCAAACAAACAAACAAGACAGAGTGTTCGCTCGCGCTATGCATGCACGGATGTCGTCATGTCTGTCGGAGTGTGTACATTGACTACATTGCAATACATTACATTGAATTAAGTTACATTACATCACATTACGTTACATCACATTACAATACATTACACTACATTACATTACATTACGCTACACTAAATTATTCTGCATCACGCAACATCATGTTATATACGATCGGAACGCATGCACGCGTACATTTTGTTTCAGCTGTTGATACTGTAGCTGTTGAATTCAGCCGAGCCCGGTCATAGCTGCATGCTGCTGGTTTGGTGATGTACTCGTTTGCTTCTGGGTAGTTGTTGATTTGCTTAAGTCCTGGAAGCGATACGCAGACCCAGAGAGACGCAGCAATGCAGGGAGAGAATGAGAAGGGAGCGCGCTGATGCACGTTCTATAGACACGATATATATCTTTATATATATATATATGTATGAACTGGCTCATGTATAGATATATATATATATATGTATGTATATATATATATATAAATGCTGGCCCCACCCCTATGGACCAACCTTTCACATGAAATCTTATAACTTCCAAAGGTTCCAAAACTCGCGATACTAGTTTTTGGAAATTCTAAAATTCCCAAAATTGCGAACAATTTTCAAAATTTCAACAATTCTATCTAAAATGACAATAACATTCCAAAAAATTCCAAAACTTGAAAAATGACCAAACATTCCAAAAGTTCAACAAAATCCAATTTTCAAAAGAATCGAAAAAGTCTCAAAATGAAAAAATTCCAAAAATTCCAAAACCTGCAGAACCAAGTTCTGGATTTGCGAAATTCCAAAATCCTACGAATTCTCGCTGAGTTTTTGGAATTTTTTAAATTTTTAAACAAAATTTAAATTTGTTTGTATTCTTTGAATGTCTGTGATTGCTTTGATGTTTTTGATGTTTTGGATGTTTGGAATTCTTGCAATTTTTAGCAATCTGGAATTCTAGCATTTGAAAAACTGTTACGGCAGTTTTTGGAATTTATTGAAATACGAGGATTAATGTTTCTGTAAACATAACATTTCACATATCGCTTCTAACTTTTCATGTGCGATGTTGGTCCTTTGTATGCCCACACCCCTTAAGGCGATATATATATATATAAGTTAGACACGAACGCTAAGATTTATACTCCTACGAATAAAATACCCACATTCACATAAATACTAATCTTGATACTAGTATTACAAATGAACTCAATACGAATACTAATACCGATAGTAATATGAGTACGAATACTTTAATGGTACATATATTAATGCCAGTATTACTCCTGCGGGTAAAGCTATCCGTACTCTTATCATGCATAATACTAATGTAGTCATATTCGTATTCGTATTAATATCTTTAGCATGTATACTGTATATTCATATTAGTACTAATTCTTACTAACATAAATTTTTCCATATAGTGATATTCCTGCGAATAAGCATATTCGCAATCATATCAATATTAATCTGAATACTAGGTTCAAAATAATGTTATACTTATACTATTATGCTAATGTTGATTTTAATATGAATACTGATACTCTCACGAATACTTATACTCATAGTCATGTGAATACTACAAAAAACTAGTCTTCCTACAAATACTAATTATAATATTCATAATACTGTCATTATAAGTGTTAATCTTCCTACACACATGAATACCTATATTTCCATTTATTCTTAATGCTTATGTTCATGTTAATATTTTTGAATACCCATATGAATAATACGAATACTGACATTAACACGAATAATCAGGCCAATACGATAATCCCCTTCATATTGAAATTAATGACCATATAAAGTTAATACAAGTTATATATATATATATATATACACACACATATACTATTGCACACTAATGTACATTTTTCTAAAATGGATTACCACAACATGCATGCAACAATGTACTACAGAATCAATATTTTCATAAACCAATGTACCAATAAACCAATGTACAAAATACCAATATACTAGCTATATCAATATACGAATATAGAAATATGCTAAACTACGAATATACTAAAATAGTAGTGTGCGACTATACTAATATACATATATTAATACTAAGACCAAGACTAAGACAAAGGCTAATACGAATACCAATACGAACACTACACTATTATTAGTACTAAAACTTTACAAACTTATAATAAGACTAGTACTGATACAAAAAAATGGTACTAGTACTAACCCTTACGTTGACATTCACATTGACACCAACACTAACACTAAAACTAACATTATCTTTGTCTCGACGAATGGCGAGCATGGAGACTGATGAATAGAAGTTAATCGCGATCGTTACATGTGTATCTCTCTCCTTATGTTACAAGGAGAGAACCTGGGTATGCATCTGCGCAGCCTCCATTTGCATGAACACAGCTTCGTATGCAGCAGTGTGGGCTCTGAGTGTATTGCTTGAGAAGAAAACATGTTTAAAATACCGCTAGACGGTGAGAGAGAACAGGNNACGTAACAGCACAAGAAATAAAATCAGGAAATTGTGGCATGTTTTTTGAGACTGTGTTGTGACTCACCTAAGCCTAAGAGCGTAAGAACCAACACAGAATCCATCGGTATTTACAGGGTTTTCGATATCAGTTCGCAGCAACACAAGTACAGACACGATCAGTTTCATGGCTCTGGCCCAGGAGGGTTTGCAACATCTATATATATATATATACATATACAAGTGTGTATATATATATATATGTGTGTGTGTGTGAATATATATGCATGTACATATATATTAAATACATATATACATGTACATATATATTTATACACATACTCACATGGAAGCGCACAGAGAGTCACAAACACACACGCACACACATACTTCTTGTCATCTGTTGTGCGTGTACCTGCACATGCCTACAGAAGCATCCAATCTCAAACGCACGAACGAAACCGGCCATGTCACTCAACAGGTCTTTGGCGGTCTGCGAAGGGTTCTCACGCAGAAAGATGAAGTTTGTGAGCTTTATGCCGTCAACTTCCTGCTTCGGGGCTGGGCATGGAGCTTGTTCTGAGTTTGACGGCTTCGGCTCCACGCATTCGCCAGGATCCGAAGACCCACAACTCTGAAAGGACATGTCGCTGCGACCCTGAACTGGGACGGAGCATCAAGACCTTCGCAGGCATCTCTTTGATTGAAAGTCTAACCCCCACACACACACACACACACACACACAGGGACGCATGACCTTCCAGTTTTGATACGGAAGCGGCAGTGGAGTCTCCGCTCAAGCTTTTTTTGGCATGGCACGACTCCGAACTGCTATGTACGATAGCTGCACCACCAAGGGAATAGTTTTGCTGCTTACTTCGGTTCTGGTTGCGAGTCCTGCATAAGAGCCCTTTCGATTCTTGCAGGTCACGGGTCTCCAAGCCTATTTTGTCCTTAGTTCCCCGCCTGGTCTGGGAGTAGCTCACGGCTGATGGGCACGACCTGAACAGCGCAAAGCACGCTTTCAGACCCTGCGCTCGTTCGCCTTTCCGCTTGCAGGAGATGCCTTGCAAGGGAAGACTTCGGTACGCAGAGTCGACCAGATTCCGTCGAAAGCCGAAAACAAAGCCCCGATGAACCGAAGCCCAAGACTCCACATGTAAGCCAAGCCCTGCAAGCTGGAAAGGCCACGCAAGTGGCCAGGCGGGATTTAGGCTCGGGGCTTGGATGCCGACCCTGTAACCCTGACCTCAGCCCCCCAAAGCCAAAAGCACTTTACGAGCCCAAATCGGGCAGAGGAACACCCGAATCAAAGAGCAGCGTAAGCTCCTCCTGAAACCTCAACCCAACCGCGCCTTGCAAATGTTGTGACGGAGGAGCTCCGCCGTTTGCCGGTCCTCCGTGTCGATGTCTGCCTCTGCTCTCTAATTGCTCAGACTTACACTTTCGACTCACACACTCGCAACTGCAGGCATGGCAATAAGTGTCCGGACTTACACTTTAGGGATTTCGGTGTGGGGCTCTTCTTTGCTGCGGGCCTTGGGCTTTAGCGCTTTGGGGTTCAGGGTCGGCGGTTGGCATGCATAGTCCAGGTCAATCTAGCAAGGCTGCAAGCCTGCTTTCGAGCCCGGGGCGTCGAGATCTCGAGACACTTTGGAAGTGGAAACTCCAGAGAAACAACAACGAACCCCCATGCCTCAAAACCACCAATGCAGTTGCTCTTCAGGGCTGCACCTTCATGCACTGTCCGAGCTTTATAGGGTTAATTGTCGCAGTTGCCCGGCCCCTGGACGTGAGGTTTAACATTCAGGGTTGCAGATTCTGAAGCCATACACTCCGCTGTAACCCTCCCAAATCTCCAGTCCCACATACAGAGCTTGCTATAGAAACCGTAGCAGCTAGAGTCAGCATCCGTGGCATCCCGGAACCCTCTTAACCTGGCATCTGCCACAAAGGGACCGGACATGGAAGGAGCCGGCGCGAGATCCGGAGAGAATTCCTTGGACGCGCTGGTACGATTGTCGGGGGGTGGTTGAGCCTGAGTTGCCCGTACGGGCTCCTAGGTGTGCAGACTCGTCAAGAGACGCAGGCAACGCAGGCTCTTCACAGCTCTGAATGGTTCGTGTTCGAGTCTGAGATCCTCTTGAGAATGGCACTCAGGAGACCGAGCGCTTTGAGAAGTCTGCTATGGCTGCTATACTATGGACCCCGGATGCCCTAAGTCAGGTTTCGACGGCACATTCACAACCGTCATTTGGTTGGGGGTTCGGGAGCCACTACGACGGCCTTGCAAACTGAAGCCCGAACGGCCCAGGCGCAGGGTGTTTGGAGAGGGTATTCGCTCCATGGCCTGCTGGAGGAATGCCTGGAACCTGGAAGGGGCCGATCGGCTCTGAGAATGGCGCTGGTTTTGGTTGGCTTTTATAACTTTAATACTTGGGTTTGCGTGGCTTGCTCTCCCGTCCCTTTTTCTCGTGCTTGAAGGGGCGAGTCAGGCGACTTGCAGTCAGCCCGCTTTTACGGGCCTTTGGGGGCTGAAGGAAGGGAAGTCGTCAGGAGTCTAAGGCCACCTCATGCGGGGCGACATGTTTAGCACTCGCAGGCGAGGAGTGGGGCAAAACTGAAGGCATCCACCAAGTTTCGGGCTCATCACGAGCCGAACAAATCAGGTCCGTTCGACCCGCAAGCCCTGGCGGTATTGACGACATTACAGGCTGCCCCGCAGGGTAGACATCACTCCGTAGAAGACTGTTCTGTCTCCCCTCTCCCTCTCCCCGTCTGTGTTTGAGTTTGGCTCTTGCCGGTGTGTTCGCTTCGCAAGGCTGCAAGGCTCTTGACTCTGAGCTTCAGCGTCTTGACTGTAGAATCGCTTGTTGAACGAGGGCTCAGGCTTGGGGACTTTGGGAACCTTGGCCTGGACAGGTGAGGGTTTGCTGGCCTCTGGCTGGCCTCTTCTCAAGGCGTTCGGGGGGACTTGGCTCAATTTCGGGCCAGGTCGCTCCACGCCGTTGACAGCGGCCGCCAGCGGCTCCAAGGCATCTCCCAACATCCCTGGAGGTAGATAGCCCCCCCCCCCAAACGTCAAAAGAAGGCTCAAACAAAAGACAAGTTCAGTGTGTCGTAGCGCAGGAAGCTAAGAATTGCAAAAAGCACAGGGCAGCCGTGGGTTTGCTTCCCGAGCGGTCAAAGGCGCTTCAAGCTTCGCAGGTTCGAAGTTCGCAGAGCCTCCTCTGTCTTAAACACGCTCCCGGGCATGAGAAGGCTCTGCTTCTGCAATCTTTCGAGCGTAGGTCGCCCTTTTCTCTGGGACCTGCGGCTTAGGGCCGAAAAAATGCCCAAGGCCTAACTCCTTTTGTGCACTGCCGCAGTGGCAGTGCAAACGTGCAAGAAAGGCAACCAAGCTAGAGAAGTATCCTCATGCCGGGCGACGTACGTTCCACTCACGACGCTCGATCTCCCGCGTGGGCTGAAGCGTGAAGCCGACGATGGGGATTCCTGGAAGCTTGCGGCTGATCGCTTGCCGACACTCTGACAGAAGGAGGCTCGGGGATGCTTGGGGCTGGTTCAGCATACCGAAGCATGCAACATCATGCAACCATAACCACAACCACTGCCACCACCAGCAGCACCCCACGACAAGAAGATTCGGCATTTTGTCGAGGCAAAGGCTCTCAACGACTCGGAGATAATCATGGCGATGTGGGTGAGGGTGAAGCCGAAGACGATGAAATCCGGCCGCTCCTGCTGCAGAAAAGTACATGGAATTCGGTGGTGCATCGCTTTGCTTGGGATAATCGGGGAGGTGCTTTGGCCGTAGGCCCAAAAGGTCCCAAGGCCGGCTCTTTTTCGAAACAGAAACGCCGTAAAGCCTGCAACCAGACAACCCGCTGAAAACACTTCGCTACAGGAGGAATCTTGACACTGTGTGTGCCCTTTAGCCCTCCCCCAAGTCCTGGAACCCTAGCTACGAAAGCAACGGGACCCACTCTTCCGATTGCCCCGGTCCCTTTTGCTGAGTTCTTGTCCTACTAACCTCTAGGAACACGCTCCTCCTTCGCCCAGTAGTAGCAGCAGCCTCACAAAGGAGCTCCAGGTGTGGGGTTTAGATCGTATGCAGTGGGTCAGTGGGTCTTCCTTTGGCTCCTGGGCTTTAGGCTGGGGGGTGCAGGACTTGCGGCCGAGGGTCGCAAGCCAAGCAAGAACTTCAAAGGACCACGAAGAAAACGACGACCACCACGACCACGACGATGTTTGAATCGGCTGACGGGCTAGGTTAGGCACGATAGATCCCAAATGGCGCGATCCCCAAATGGTGTGATGCTCCTTTTTCATGTCATCAAATGCCTCATCGCCACAATCATCACGGTCAGTACAGGTACCGTGTTCGTCACGGTTTCTGTCTGCGCCGTCGTCACCGTCATCACTCCCACGACCACCATCACCATCACAATTTTGATCAACATACGGTCAACACCCCCATCATGGTCATCGTCACGGCCTCCACCACCACCATCATCACCATCAGCAGAGGCATCATCGTCATACCGCCATCGCTTGCGATGTTGTTCGCATCGGCACATTCAAGGGACTATGCTCCATGCTACAGTTACAGCAAAACCCAGATCCCAAGCCCCATACCACGAGGACGCGAAACCCACCCGGGGTCTGGACCCTCGCTGGAGAAGAACTCCACTTCACTGCGCGAGAGCATCAGCGCCTTCGCTGAGGCTTCGCGTTCTGAGGCTGTGTTTGGGCTTGGGCGGCTTAGGCACCTTGGGGCGGGTCAGCCAGCTCTAGGGCTCAGTATGGCTCAGTGTTGAGATTCCCTGGCTGCAGGATAAGGCGTGCTGCGCGAGCCTGCGGGTTCAGCGTGCTGTTCCGAGTCCAGAATCTAGAAGCTGAGCAGGAAGCCATGGGATTTCGAGAGAAGGGCTTCCATTCTCTAGGCCTGGGGGCTCGAGGAAGACCCAGGATGCCTGCTTTGTAATGATTAAGATATGGATTGTGACTGCAACGAAAAAGCGGCAAAAGCCAAACATCATAGAATTTGAGAGTTCTGCTGGCCGCCTGGAGGGTGTCGCTGTGCTGGCCGATGGTCATCGCCTCAAGGAGGCCAACAAGAAGCAAAGACAATCCCCAAACAGGTTGTTCTTTCTGGTTCGAGCAGTTTTGGGACCTCGGACCTCGGACCCGAGGTTTCAACAAAGCCTCAGCTCCCGAAAGGCTCAGTAGGGGTGTTCTCATGTACTGGAACCCTGAAAAAACAGGCGGGCCGATGGCCAAGCGCGCGCCCCTGGTCTTCACCTTCAGCGTCGTGTCTCCTGGCAGGTAAGCTTGAAGTCCCAACCAGTCCTTTGGGGGGTGAGTCCTGCTACTCGAAGCGTGCTCTATGCAACTGCTATCAACTGATCGGAGGGCCTCCAGAAGGTCTGAAGCGGATGCGTGCCGGAAGATCACCACCTCACGCAACAAGAGCGAACCCCCCGACTCGTCCCAGCAAACGGATCATCCGAATTCCTGTAGTCCGGCAGCTACCATGTGTTAGCATGTTCATTTTGTTGACTTGACGGATGACTATGTCTGATGTGACGTTAAAACAAGTGTCACTCAAGTTGCATCATCAGAATCTGCAACAAGTCACTCCAAGTCAGCTG